TGACAGGCTGATAGGATGATAAGCTTTAGCCTCAGTATAATCAAGTTTCCCGTGCTTCAGAATAAATGTCACTTTAACTTGCCTCCAGGCTGTAAGGATAAACCCATGCGCCATGCAGGCTCTAAATATGCAGCATATGTGTGGGACTAAATGTTCCTCCCCTTGCTCCAGAAGTGCTGGTACAATACCATCTGTTCCTGCAGACTTAAATGGTTTGAAGGTACCTAATACCCACCTGATTTTTGATTGATTGATTACCCAACATGCCAGGTTCCAGTCTCCCCTGTTCATTATGTATCCACATATGTCCAGGTTCTGCTGGCCCCACTCATCAACTGAATCATCAGTCAACTTTGAATTTGGGAAGTGAACTCTGAACAGTTCCTTCAGCGTCTCTTCTCCACTTTGGGTATACTTACCATCAGGCAGCTTGATAGTTCTGACCGTATTGGTGGCCTGTTTTGCCATGATCCTCATGAGTCTGGCACTGCCCAGTACATCATTAATCTCCTGGCAGTACTTCCTCCATGAGGATCGTTTGGCTTTCCTTATCTCTTTATTGTAACAGGTGAGGGTTTCCTTATAGGTTCTGCCCTGTTCTTTTCACTATGTTAAATAGCTTTCTTGTTTTAACTCTTAGCCCACTCAGCTTTTTATTCCACCGAGGTGCATTTCTTGGTAAGCGAGTGGTCTTGGCTGGACAATTATGGTAATAGGTAATTTTGTTCCGAGCTCTGCTACTGTCCACATCACAATCTGAGTTTTTCAAAGTTGCCAACTTCTGAAATTCTGAACTGTACTGTAATTTAGTACCTCGTTTAGTTTCTTGAAATTGTACCTCTCAATATAAAATTTTTGAATTATTCATTTGCTTACTGCCATTCTATACCTATCATTTTCCACCACCAGATAATGGCCAGTATCACAGGACTTTAGACCAAGAACACTTGAATGCAGTTTCCTGTCCATCAACATATGGTGGATCTGATTGTGTGTCTTTCCATCTGGAGATGTTCAAGTATATTTATGAATTTTACAGTGTGGGAACATTGTACTCTTGACAGATTTTTGGATGTGGCTAAGTGTACTACTCTAATTTCATTATTATTTACTAATTTCATTTAAACTCCTGTTTCGAGTTGTTGGTTTGAAAATATCTTCTCTGCCTACTTTGGAGTTGGAATCTGCTAACAGTATTGTCATGTGTTAGTGACTAGACATGGAATCTGGATTGGTAATTGAATTTAACTCAGAACTACAAGTGTCTGTGACAGTTTCATGGATCTGCACACTCTACAGATCACTACAACATGCACTAGGTCTTCTCAGTTTGTCTTGACTTGTTGCTCAGCAGTGGATCCTCTTCTGCTCACATCATTGCCAGCCTTTACTGCCATATCAAAATTAATTCATTGCTCCAACTGTGGACTCTCATGCCTCATTTTTGCTTACCATATAGCATTGGCATGGACTGCACAGAAATCAGCATTTCCAACAGTTCTTGCATTGTTGCATAGATATCCCTTTCTGCAACATTTGTTTATTTAGTCCTTGCCTGTCCATAAAAATTTAATGTCAGTATTTTCATGTTTTTAGATAATTTATCAAATACATGTTCTAGTTCCTCATAGAAGCTGTCCATGGTATTGTCACGTACATGAGTGACTATACACGGGTTTTGGGTCACTAATTGGATTTATTGAACTCTTACAGCTCGTAGCTACAAGTAAGGATTATGCTCTTACTGTTCTACACACGTCACAAACCACTACAGGACACACTAGGTCTTCTCAGTCTTTTACACTCTTCACTAGCCATTGCTAGTGGCTTCCAATGGTGGACATTGCCCTTCCTCTGGGTTCCCAAACTGTTCCTGGCCTCAACTACCAGCTTTTAACAGCAGCTGAATGCCAGTGGTTATCTAGGTCACTCTCTCACTCACAGCAGAACTCTTCACTTTACTAACTGCAGGGTCAGAGTCAGAGTTACTTTATGACTGTCAGTTTACCACTGATCAGTTCGACTTGGCACCAAGCCCCTTGTGAGACCCATTACCTTTTTTTGACAATCTTCATGATCATAGTCCCTATGTAACATCATCTCTGATGAGAGGGTGGGTTTGTCTCGTATGAATAGGCTTTGCCTTTGTCATGTGTATGTATTGCAGATGTAGCATAGGTCTACATGGTTAAGGGGAAATTTTTTTTTCTGGGAAGCGGTCAGTCTGATAGAAGTGATAATTAGGAATGAAGAACCTCTCATGGGGTTTCAGATGTGTCTCCAGGAGGAGAGCCACGTCTGTATGTAAGTCTTACAGCTGTTTACTGAGCTCATAGCGCCGCCTCCAAATGCCATTCCCATTAAATGCTATGACCAAGTGGCCTATGAACTCTATTTTGTTTCATTAACTTAAGTGCCATTTTTGTAATAACCATTATTTTGTCTTTTTCTGACACACCTAACTTGTCCTGCTTATAATGTCTTGGCACAGAAAACACCATTTCCCATTACTGTTGTATCCTCTTGTTGCCATGGAATTGTTGCATTTGTGTCTGTTGGAGGAGCAGTTACCTGGCATTGGCTGTTGTATAGTTGATTTTTTGTGGTCATTGTCTACCAGCTTGTGTACGTACCACATTTGTGTCATGATTTAGTGACTATAGATGGGTTTTGGGTTGATGATCAGATTTATCAGACTCTTTGAGATAACTCATTTGTGGACTACAGGTCACAGAGTCTGTTGGAATAGCTGTTACCTAGTGGCAGTTGTTGCATAGTTGCTTATTTCATGATCATTGCCTAGCACTGGGTCCACATTCCACATTATTATCAGTTTTATCTTCTGTTGGCATGGACAAAAGTGGTATCACATGAGCGACCTCTTAGTATACAGGGTGTTTCACGACTTTGGGGCATAACTGCAGGAGGTGATTTCCTAGGTCTTTGCAATCAAGAAAGTTCATATAAACATGTGTCTGATTTTGGACGGTTACGGAGTCATGACCGTTTTTTCATTCCCGTACACGCCCTCATGTGAACTGCGTCTGTCAGCTGGCGGGTTGCTATTTTTAGCCAGCTACAGACAGAGCGCTCTCATTATCTCGACACTTGAGATGTACCTAAGGTGGGGAGAGTTGGTATGTCCGGTGCGGTTCACAACCGAGCGGCAGCCTGTGTTGCGCCCGGCTGTGACATTTTCGAAAATTAGCTTTAAGCACCAATAAATTCAAATTAAAGGTAATTTCACGAAGTTAACTTTACATTCAAACTTCAAATGTATCATGTATTATGCTGGTTTATTATTTTGTTCCGTTTATTGTCAGTAATCGTTACCTTCTATTCTGAGTTTAAAACGGTCATAACTCCGTAACCGTCCAAAATCAGACACATGTTTATATGAACTTCAATGACCTAGGAAATCACCTCCTGCAGTTATGCCCTAAAGTCATATATGTGACTTGCTGCCAGTAAGCGATTTCTACTGTGTTAACTGTTGATATGATTCTCTTAAGTATAAAAAATCTGTGCATAATTTATGATTTGCATTCCCCTATCCATATAAAAATGTATAATCATCTGCTGGTTCAGTGCTACCGCTGCCCTATCTGACCTCCTGTACTCTCACTAAAGTTATCTTATATTTTGCTATTTCACTTGCATCTGTTATCAGTGAAACTGTCCTATATAGACTCCTTACATTTCAGGTACCAAATCTCATCTCCATTTTCCCTAGTTTAGGTTTTTTATCCAAAGAATCCAAGTCTGAGGCCCTGTGTAATATTTTGTAACAAGATTATTTTTCTATGGTCGTTAACCCCATACCCAGCCGTAAAGTTGGAGGACCATCCCTTGTTGGCTGTTGACAACTATTTAGTCAGTGTATTTACAGCTACTTTCCATATCTGAGGGCTATCTCCATCCAGAACTCAAGGACACGGAACCCACTTAACGAGGCACATAGAGACATTATTGAATAAAAAATAGCTGAGTGCTCACTGAAGAGAAATTATATAAAATTGTTGCTAGGCTTGAATTCATGTTGAAAATTCCATGGACATCATGCACAGGAAACTGGGGCTTGAAGTTTCTAGTCTGCTCTTTCCAAAAAAAAAGAACTTCATTGAATGAATTTGAATATTTTATGGTGATGCAAGGAGTGTTTCAGTAACAGGATAATCCATTTTCAATTACTCCTGTGAATTCAGTTGGTTTTTGTATGATTTGTTGTCCTGTGAACATATTGACTGCATTGTGGGTCTGAATACATACAAATAAAGTTGACATAAGGAGCTTGTCTTTCTTCCACTGAACCTGTCAAATGATTTGTAGCAAGCCGTCATATAAGGAGTTCTTGGACCTGAGATGAAGCAGGATGAAAACATTTTTTACATTGTTGAAAGTAAACAAAACAGAAGGTAGTCTTGGTATTTGTGAAGAATGCCAGGTAATAAACCTAAACACAGAATAATGGTTAGACTGTATGGAAGTGAATTTGGGAGACATACGTCCAGAAGAAGAAAGACGAGAAAAGACGATCCACACAGAAAATGACAGTGATTTGGATACAATGGAAAGCTTATGCTGTAATGATTTGTGGGAGGAAGAAAAGGAGCATACTGTTGTGTAGTAAGTTTTAACTGTAACTGATGAATACAGTTTTTATTTCAGAATTAATTAATAAGAGTAGTTGAATGGATAGGCACATAGAATATGTAGAGGAGGCAAGAAATGTGTAAACTTTCTTCTTGGGGAGAATGCTAAGTGAAGAGACTACATGTTATATATGGGTGTAGGTAGGAGGGGAGCCTTAAAATGAATCTTAGAGAAACAAGTTGTGAACTTTTGAATTGGATTAAGCTCTCTCAGGATAGGTGAGTTTTGTGATGACAACCAGTAAATTCCTGACCAGCTGGACGACTGTCAACTTTAGTTATATGATCAATCAGTTTGACTTAATGAATAAACACAGTATTGGTTATTAGACTTAATCTTCCTTTCAGTGCTGGAAATCTCGTGTGCGAGATTCAAACGGTGTAGAGCGTCTGTCTCGAGGCTGCATCACCAATCCAGAACAGATACCTTTATACTGCAGTGTACCATCATATAGTTCTCGCTCAGGTCATACAAAGCGCCATACAGATGGACAGTATGCAATAGATTGCTGTACTGGAGATTTTTGCAACAATGGAAGTTTTCCTGATCTGCCACCAGTTGTTTACAAAGGTATGTCTTATAAAGTAAAGTAATTCTATCATCTCTTCATGTAACTGTAACATATAATGTTGGACTGTACTTAAAACTGAGTTCTGATCCTGGGCCGGGATCACATGCAAGTGAATGCAGTGTAATACATAAGGGTGGTGTTAGCATACTGAAATGATAGTAGCACTATATTTTTGGGGGGCACATGGTAGTGTAGTTGGTTCAGGCACTATGCTACAAGCTGGAAGGTCGCAGGTTCAAGTCCCGATGAGGTCATTGGATTTTTTAAATTGACGTAATCCTTCCAGCCCACTATGGCCCTGGGGTCGACTCAGCCTCTAACAGAAATGAATACCAGGAATTTTCCTGGGGGATAAAGTGTGGCTGGCCCGTAAAGCTGAAAACCTTACCGCCATATTTGAGCCAATTGTCTAGATAAGGTAAGACCCTTAACGTCTCACAACCCTGGCTTCCAAGGCCTGTCGCAGTGATAGCTTTACCTTTTTTTACCATCTTTTTTAAGGGGTACATAATTTGCTAACATCTGTGGTGATTTGTACTGTATATAATAATGATTCCTTCATTAGTTGTATAATTTCCAAGGTTGTTCAAGGTTAAGTTAGTTTTCTGAAGGCAATGAAGAAGTTTCTGACCTACTACGAGTTCAAGTTCAGCTGAGAGCTGTATGTGATGTGAACATTTGCCATGTCAAATATCAAGTTTTGGGAATAAGACACAGTACTGTGTATAATATTGCGATCAGCTATAGAACAAGTGTTGAATATGTTAACCTTTAGGAGACGGCCATTTAAATTCCGGTAGTGGTAGCGGGACGGAGTTACTTTAAATGCCCGCCACTGTAGAGTAATAAAA